GGCAGGAAAGACCGTGAGACTCCTATCTCCAATAAACCACCAGAAAACCAGAAGTGGCGCTGTAGCTCAAGTGGTAGAGCGCTCGCCTTGAGCTGAAGAGCTGAGGGACAGCGCCCAGGCCCAGAGTTCAAGCCCCACGACCGACAAAAAAAAAAAGAAAATTGTTAACGTTTTTAATATAATAAGACACTTTCCCCTGAGAAGAAAAGTCATTTCTATGCACATGGCTAAGACATATAACTATTAGCTGTTAGAACACAATAAATTTAAGACTTTTTCTTCCCTTAATATCGACAAGCTAATTGTTCATATGTTTTCTGATTGGTTACAAATAGATTGTAGGCTTTTGGTGACCAGGAGTAAATGATTCTGTGTTTAAATCATACCAGGTTGTAAATTACAAGACAAAGTGTATTTTCAAAGTTGTTTCCTGTTATGTAGACATGGTTATCATATTCAAGTACTTAGGAAAAGATTTTGGTTGTAATGGATAACAGTTTGAGTTCATATTTAACCAGCTCAATCGGTAGGAAATGAACTGTATTTCTATTAACACTGGTTGTGCCAAAATTTTTATAGATCATAGCAATTTTCTGAGTGAGTTTTGTCTTGTTAAGTAGTGTAAATCAGTCATACAAAGGGGCTTCATTATGATATTTACATACATGAGTATGGTCAGATTTATAGCCTCTGTTACTCTTTCTTAGCCCTCCCTATTTTTCTAAGCTACCAAATAATAATATTGAAAGTATGCCATTTTTATTTTCTTTTTGTACAGAGATGTAGCTCCAGAAGGATATAGTGCACTCAAGAGGCTGAGACAGAGGATCCTAAGTTCCAAGCCAGCCTGAGCTACATCATGAGACTTTGTCTCAAAAAAGAAAAGAAAAAATATGTAGTTTCAAGGCTTACATTTTGTGTGAACTTAACACATAATCATCTTGAAGTCTTGACCAGCCAGTTTTGTGTCTGAGCTTGCTCAAGGAAGAGTTATATATAGCAACCACAAACTCTCAAGTTGCATGATTATCATTGTATATTTTTCTGCTGCAATTTTCAGCCCATTGCTATCATCTTTACCTTCATGTTCTTATGAAAGAACTAGTTATTTAAATTATTCCTAAGGCAAATTTCAGCTACTGTTACAAATCAAAAAGAAACGGCCTTTAAACCATTCTCCTAGGAAAAAAGGGAAGCTGATTTTAATTGGCCATCTGCTGTGTGCTGGGGCTACTGTGTGCGCTCTTTCATGGCCTCCCACTGTAGTTATGATGAAAATAGACTTGTTTAGCATGGCCCTTAGCAACCCTGTGCTGCCTCCTCCTCCTTGTCCAGTCTTATCTTTCATCACTATGGGTTTTGCATCCAGTGCTTTGGTTTGTCTCACTTTATTTAAGAATTTCATATATGCCTTGTCTACTGTCTCGCCAGGCTCCCTCACATACTATTCCTCTCTTCCTATTGCTGCTCTCTGCCCACCCTAGATGAATACCTATTTACAGTCCAGACCCTATGAGAGTAGGGGCTGTATTTTCCTGCTTATTAACATGTTATTCCTGCCAACTACTGTAGCACTTTGTCTCTTTGTTGGTTGAACAAACAAGCAAATAATCTTAGCAAATGGATTATTTTAACCCTTAGTCACAGAGTTGATAAAGTGGTAGGCCCCAGAGTTCAAGTGACAGACCCACACCAAAGCCATCTAACTATACTAAGCTGTTTCATAGCTGTGAGTCATTAAACACTCTGAGGAGGAATGGAAGGTAAATTAGGTAATTGAGCTGAAATAGTACACCTAATTGTATAATTGATCCACTACAGAAACATAATGAAACCAATTTTCCATAAACCTAATCAAGAAAATTTAAAAATTGAATTACTTTGATTTTCGACTTACACACAAACTAAAACACTGCCATAAAGGCAGCTTGCAAATAAATCCACAGGATTTATTTGTGGGATTCTGAGATGTATTACCCTGAAAATACTTTTTTCTTGGTATTCAATTAACCTGCCCCATTGTGCCCCCCCCTTCTTTTTTATATCTACAAAGGTAAGACTTTTCCTCCTAAGGAACAGTTGAAATACTGGAATATTGTCTGGAAAATATACAAAATGCTTTCTTTAAATAGTTACAGATATAGTTACTGTTCTTTTTCTGTATTTTCTTTTAAGAACCCTGCCCTCTTTTTCCAGTATTGGGATTGAACTCAGAGCCATGTATTTGCTAGAAAAGCACTCTACTAACTAGCTGTGTCCCTAGTTCTTTTGTTTCTTAGATAGGGCCCTTGCTTTTGCCTAGGCCAGATTCAGATCAAGCTCTTCTATCTCTGCTTCTGGAAAATAGCTGGGCCCACAAGCATGCGCCTTCAGCTTTATTCCTTTTCTGTTTTTGGTCGGTCGTGGGGCCTGGGCACTGTCCCTCAGCTCTTCAGCTCAAGGCTAGCACTGTACCACTAGAGCCACAGCACCACTTCCGTCTTTTTCTGCTTATGTGGTACTGAGGAATCCAACCCATGCAAGGCAAGCACTGTACACTGAGCCACTTTCTTAGCCCCAGCTTTGTTCTTGAGATAAGGCCTTGCCAACTTTGCCCTATCCCACCTCAAACCACTGTCCTGCCTCCCAAGTAGCTAGGATTATAGGTGAGTGTCACCATGCCCAGCTTAGCACCTCCTTTTTCATTATTTCCCTTTTAAGGAAACATCTCCTTGCTTTATCCATTTGAACAAGTCATTAATTCTCCCTGCCCTCTCTTTTCTCCCTCTATAACTCCTCACAGTGTTTGCTCTATTTATATGGACTAAGGTTTCACTCCTGTGGAACTTGTTGCTCACCCCATTTCTCAGCACGTGTGCTCTAGTCCTTGAGCATGTATGTCTCCTATACTATGACTGCAAGCCATTTTAGAGAATACACTGTCTTAAGCACTCACACATCTCATAATCTTTTGGACCTGATATATTTTCCAGCACATTTTATAGTTAAGTACTATTTTTTTAAAGGCACATCTTAGCTGGGTGCCCATATCTCAGGCCTATGAAGTAATAATTTGTGATAGTACAGAGCAATAAAAATATTAATAATGCTGGGTTCTGGTGGCTAATGCCTGTAATCCTAGCTACTCAGGAGGCTTTGATCTGAGAATCAAGGTTCAAAGCCAGCCTGGGCAAGAAAGTCCATGAGACTTTTCTCTCCAGTTAACCTGTAGAAAACTGGAAGTGGTGCTGTGGCTCAACGTGGTAGAGTACTAGCCTTGAGTAGAAAAGCTCAGGACAGCACCCAGGCCCTGAAAGTTCAAGTCGGATAACCAACCCAAATAAGTAAAATAAGTAATAATATATATTTGCATATATATCATTATTTTAACTGTTTTGTTTGGGCCTATAGAATTAGACTTCTAGATTGTGTTTTGTGCTTGACTCCCAAGGTGGGCTATTAATAGTTTTTTCAGCCCTATTTCTCTGGTTCTTTGACAGTTGACATGGGTCAACAGTCTCCTGTGTTAGAGAAAAGTTTTCTGCAGAACTAATCACAAAACTTTCACTTTTTTTCCCTACTAGTTCTGAGATTTGAACATAGAGTCTTATATTCTTCTCTCAGCTATTTTGCTCACTGCTGGTACTCTACTGCTTGAGCCATGCTTCCAGTTCCTGCCTTTTGCTAGTTATTTAAAGATAAGAAAAATCTGGAGAATTTGTCTCTCCAAGCTGCCTTTGAACTTCAGTCCTTAGATTTCATCCTCCTGATTTCAATTTAAAAAAAAAAAAGTTAAATGGGACTAGGAATGTGTCTCAGTAATAGAGTACTTGCCTTGCATGATCAAGGCCTTGGGTTCAATCTCCAGCACCACAAAAACAAATAAGAACTAATAAATAAATAAATTCGTTCTAAAGATCACAAATTATAGTCACCCCCAATCATTTAGAAGGGCTTGTCCCACATCAGACCAATGCCCCTTTAACTTTATGCCCTCTAAGCTTAGTTCCAGACTTCTTTCTCCCTCAGCCTTTGCTTCCTTAGATTTGGTTGAATTTTTTTTCTTTTTTGTCAAGCATGCTTTTCTACTTTAGGCCTTATTTTCCTGATGTCAGAGCCAGGCTAAATACAGGCATCAGTGAATTTCTCACAGTTTTCTGACTGAGAAACAAGAGGAAATCCAGATGTTTTGCACTCCCCTGTCTTATTAGGAAAACTTATGCCACACAACTGGCCAGCTGCTTTTCTATTGAACTCAATGAGGGCCTGTAGCCAGTGTCTTATCCCCACCTCAGTTCCCCATCCCCTAGTCCACTATTTGGCACATATACTTTTTTTTTACATTTGATATTGGGAACTATATTTGGCTTCTATCTTTTCCTTTCATTGGCTCACTGATTTTTTTATATTTATAATTATCTAGGTATTGTACAGAGGGGTTACAGTTACATAATAAGGTAGTGGGCATATCTTATTGAACATTGTTACCTGCTCCCTTGTTTTTCTCCCACTTTTCCTCATACTCCCCCTAGTACATACACTTTTAATAAGAGTTAAGTTTTTATTTCTCTCTATCTGATTTTTTTTTTAAAAAGTTAGTATTAACAAAGACTTGTAAAAATTAGTATGAATTAGTATGAAAGCTGGTTAGGTTCTCTCATTAAGAGACCCAGGGAGATAACATATTTTTGCACTTCAATTTTATTTGAACATAAGTGGATAAACCAGAAGAATTTATGCATTAATTTTTAAGCTCAGAACAGGAAAATAGCAAAGTTAAACATGTTTTTAAAAGAAAACAATTTAAAATGACCTTCAAAGTTAGTCTGTTCTATTTTACAGGTTTTAACCCCTAGATCTTTCCTGAGGTTTCAAAAAAAAACAAAACTCCACCTATTAATCTAACTTGAGAATGCTAATGTTTTGCTGGTGTCAACATCGAATGTGTGATCAATGAACAAGAATGAAAAGTCTCTGTTGTAGGCAGGATGGAGAACTTCTTTTTTTCTAATTCCACACAGACACGTCTTCGGCCTCTGAGGATGAAGGCTCTCTGAGACGCCAAGCTGCGCTCTCTGCTGCCTTGCAACAGAGCTTACAGAATGCCGAGTCCTGGATCAACCGTTCAATTCAGGGATCGTCCACTTCTTCATCCGCATCTTCTACGCTGTCCCACGGAGAGGTCAAAGGAACCAGTGGGTCTCTAGCTGATGTATTTGCCAATACTCGAATAGGTAGGAGCTGGATCTACCCAAGAAACCCAAATTATATTCTATTTGGCACCCAGTATCCAGGAAACAGTTTATGATTGTGTTAGGGTTTTCAATGTGGCCTGCAAAAAATATAATCAAGAGAGAACTGTTAATGAGGTAAAGAAGGAAACACCAGCAATACATTTGCTACAGGAATAGTAGGGACCATCTACATTATTCATGCAGAGGGCTGTCCACCTGAAGCCATATTTGTTTCCATAAGCAATACTCAAGCTGCAAGACATAACACCAGTCTTAGGAGAGGTTTGTTCCAGCAGCAGAAAACCATTTCATACATTAAAAGAGCTAACATATGTAACATCTTACGTATTCCCATGATGTTTATCTATATTCTGTCAAAAATTATTAAACCTGAGCAAATTCTACATTTTCCAATATGAGTGAAACCTTTTTGTCTTTAGCCTAAAGGCTGGATTTATTCTCCTTGCTGCTATGGTATTGCTGCCTCCAGAGTGTGCAGGCTGAGGACATTAGTACTCTGGGAGCTGCTGGCTGCCTGAGTGCTACTGTATGGAGTGTAGCTTTTGCTTGGCTCTGCTTTATGTTTTTATGTAATTTTTTTAAAAGAGTTGTGATATCTGCAGATAAAGATAATAGATCTCTGCTTTGGTTTAATTGGTTGGTACAAATTGCAGTAAGTAATATATGTTAATGTTATGTGTCTGTGATGTCTTTCCCTTTTTTTCTGGACAATCAGTCATATTTTGGTGTCTTTTATTTATCACTTTAATAACTTTGATTTCTGAAAAGAACAAGTAGGAAAAGTCTCCATTCAAATTCATAATTTTAAAAGGAAATAGTTAACCCTGTGATTGCCCAAATAGAAAACCACGGATAGCCAGTGACTACAGCTCTCCACTGTGTAATCCACTGCCCCTCCAGAGCAGCTGCATACAGATGCATGTTCACTGCTTCTTCTTTCTTGGAGGGTAAGCACCAGAGCCAGGGTCCCTGAGGTTTGATTTCTATGTTTGTTTAAAAGAGAGGCCTTCCACTGGTGGCAAAAAAAGTAAAAAAGCAAAAACAGAAACAAAAAAACTGTCTGGATTTTTGTTACAGGGTAATTTCTGTGGTCACATTTTTTTTTTTTTTCTGTTGCTTCTATGACACTGTAAAAAGTTACTACTGGTTCAGTTACAAAAACTATTCTAACAACCTGGTACTAAGATCTGAACTCAACCTCATGCTTTCTAGGCAGGCATCTACTGATGGAACCACACTCAGCCCTTTTTTGCTTTAATTACATTTTGGATCAGGTCCTGCGTTTTTGTTTGGGGCTAGCCTAAGGCCATGACCCTCCAACCTATACCTCCCTCATAGCTTGTATTACCCTGCTCAGCTTGTGGATCAAGGTGAAGTCACAGGAACTTTTTAATCAGGCTGGCCTCAAACCACAATCCTACTGATATCTGACTACTAATTAGCCATTGTTATAGGTGTGAGTCACCACATCTAGGATTCAATATTATTGCTTTACAGTTGTTTGCTAGCAGAAGTAATTCATGTTCCCAATAGGAAAATTCAAAAGCTTAGGTAAAAGAGAAATTTAAAAAAAATCTATAATCCCCTTATGGATAACACTTAATGTATGATCTAGATTTTATTTATATATGAATAGGTAGGGCTTTCATTTTAATTTTACAAAAATTGTCATACACATAATGCTCATTAACTGCTTTTTTTAGTAGCTTACCACAAACATCTTTCATATCACTATGATTATTTTTTTATGCTTTTAAAGTATGCCATTGTCTTTCTATGCTTGCTTTATTTAGCCATTCCCCTGTTTAGGACACTTAAATAAAGAGTACCTAACTAGGTGCTAGTGGCTCACTCCTATAATCCTAGCTACTAAAGAAGCTAAGATCTAAGGATCACAGTTCAAAACCAGCTTGGGCAGAAAAGTCCATGAAACTCTCATCTCCAATAAACTACTCAGAAAAAGCTGGAAGTAGTGCTGTGGCTCAAGTGGTAGAGCCCTACCTTTGAGCACAAAGAGGCTCAAGGGTATCGCTCAGGCCCCAAGTTTAAGCCCCAGGACTGGGGGGAAAAAAAGTTTTCTGTCTATGGGAATGAACATACTTCAGCATACAATAGATTACAATAGTGTGTATTTGTTTATTACCTTTGGGTGTATTTCTGTAAATTGAGTTGCTAGGATAAGTAAAAATACTCTATATTAAAAACATTTTTAATTAGTGTATGTATACTTGTAATATAAAAGGGATTCATTGTGATATTTCTACACTTGCACACAGTACATTTTGATCATATTTACCCACTCCATCATATTCCTATTTCTTTCCCTTGCTTCTCCCTTTTTAAATGCATTTGTTATCATGTTATGCTATGGAAAGGTATACTGAACTGTACTTGTGCTAGTGTAGTACAAACTTCAACAGCTATCAAACTACTAATTACAGAACTTTGGAGCATAGAAACTTTACTCCAAAATTGATTAAGTTTTTGGCAACATAACCCTATTGAATAGGTCTCTTCCAACTTACAGTATTCCCATTTTCTGTGTTAAGAATCCTTTCATAGGCTGGGAATGTGGCTTAGTGGTAGAGAGCTTGTGTAGCATGCATGAAGCCCTGAGTTTGATTCCTCAGTACCACATAAGCAGAAAAAAACTGGAAGTGGTGCTGTGGCTCAAATGATAGAGTGCTAACCTTGAACCACAGAAGTTCAGGGACAGTGTCTAGGACGTGAGTTAAAGCCCCAGGACTGGCAAAAAAAAAATCCTTTCATGAAGTAGTATACTGTCACTGTTTGACTTCTACTTAGAGCAGGAAGTACCTTGTTGCCAAGTAGCACCAGTTCACTCTTGTTTATTTTGTAAAAATTAGGAGTGGATTTTGGTTTTCTTCCATCTGAAAATCTGGGCACTCTGACCCACTCCTAAGATGTGTGTGTGTGTGTGTGTGTGTGTGTGTGTGTGTGTGTGTGTGTGTAAGGAAGAACATTCTATATTTGAGATACTTTAGAATATCAGTAGTCAGAATCTTGCTCACTTTGGTTCTATTTTGAAATAATATTTTATTTTTATTGTCACATTAGAATTCAACCAACCTTTCTGCATAGAAAATGATCTTTTTAAGAAATAGTGGCTATGTGATTTGACCTTACTAAAGTTACTCATCTTGATAATAATTTGGCAAAGCTTTGGCTTAATTTCTAATTTGTCCCTTTATATCTTGCTAGTAGATTTTTTTTCTTGGCAAAAGAAAAATTAGCAATTCTTATTTTTGCTGCTATTGTCATAAAATTCTAAGTTTTGTTTTCTCCCTTCTTAGAGAATTTCTCTGCTCCCCCTGATGTCACTACAACTACCTCCTCTTCCTCATCATCGTCCTCAATGCGCCCAGCAAATATTGACCTGCCCCCTTCGGGGATAGTTAAAGGCATGCACAAGGGATCCAACAGGTCCAGCCTTATGGATACAGCGGACGGTAGGGAGTTCTTTTTGGTAGCTACATAGAGGTATAAATTAAAGTGGAAAATTTCAAGTTGGAAACTAATTCATGGCCAAAGGATTGAGTAGCTGTAGAAGTAGGTCATAGTTGTGAGCAGGCCATCCTGAGTGCTCCTTTCTCCACTTGTTCACATTCAGCTAGCGTTTCCAAAAGACACTTTGAACCAAAACCAGAGTCATAAAGAAAAGAATTATTGTAGCATTCTTTTATAAGCTTGGCGCCAGTGGCTTATACCTGTAATCCTAGCTACTTAGGAGGCTGAGATCTGAGTATTGAGGTTCAAAGCTAGCCCGGGCAAGAAAGTCTGAGCGACTTTTTTTTTTTTTTTTTTGGTCGATTGTAGGGTCTGAACTCTGGGCCTCAGCACTGCCCCTCAGCTCTTCAGCTCAAGGCTAACACTCTACCACTTGAGCCACAGCATCACTTCTGGCCTTTTCTGCTTATGTGGTACTAAGGAATCAAACCCAGGGAAACCACTTAGAAAACCAGAAGTGGTGCTGTGACTCAAGTGTTAGAACACTAGCCTTGAGCTGAAGAACTGAGGGACACTGCCCAGGCCCAGAGTTCAAGACCCACAATCACAAAAAAAAGAAAGAAAAGAAAAAAGAAAAAAAAGAATGCTACAAGAACTTGGGTTCTGGTGGCTCACACCTGTAATCCTAGCTACTCATAAGGTTCAAAGCCAGCCTGGGCCGGAAAGTCCCTGAGACTCTTATCTCCAATTAACTACCAGAAAACCAGAAGTGAAGCTGTGATTCAAAGTGGTAGCCTTGAGCAAAACAGCTCAGAGATACAGCCCAGGCCCTGAGTTCAAGCCTAACAACTAGTGGGGAGAGGGGGAAGTTATGTTAGAAGAGGAAGGGGAACTTAGTTGAAACCATTAACACCCTTTGTTCTCTTTTGTCATCAAATTTGTAACTTACATATTTGTTACTATTTGGCAGTTGAATTAGAACAAGTCTGTGGACAAAGGCCAAACATCATTAGGAAAGAAAGTTCCTAAAAGAATGGAGGCTCCAGTATCTCACGCCTGTAATCCTAGCTAATCAGGAGGCTGAGATCTGAGGGTCATGGTTCAAAGCCAGCCCATGCAGGAAAGTCTGTGAGACTCTTTTCTCCAATTAACCACCAGAAAACTGGAAGTGATGCTGTGGCTCAAGTGGGAGAGTGCTAGCCTTGAGCTGAAGAGCTCAGGGACAGTGTCCAGGCCTGGAGTTCAAGCCCCATGGCCCACCCAAAAAAAAGAATTGAAGAGCTAAAATGTCCTTTAAGTCAAAGTAAATTTTAACTGAATTTATAATTTTTTCCCTTATAGGTGTTCCTGTCAATAGCAGAGTATCCACAAAAATCCAGCAGCTTCTCAATACTCTGAAACGACCCAAAAGGCCTCCCCTAAAGGAATTTTTTGTGGATGACTCTGAAGAAATTGTGGAAGGTAGTAGTAAAAATACCACAAACATGCTCATTGAACAGATATTCTCTAAACAGTTAGTATACATCAACTACATAAAGTTAAAGATTAACAAGACAGTTCTTGGTTTAAAAGTTCTCTGCTTTTTCTTTCCTAAGGATCATTTGTGTTTTAGATCTCAAATGAAAAGTTTTAAGAGGGAAGGTAGTGAAAGAAAATCCTAGATATAACCTGGAACATGTACTTTGAACTTAGGAACTATCCCAAGTACATCAGTTGTGTGTGCGTGTGTGTGTGTGTGTGTGTGTGTGTATGTGTGTTTGCACATGGAACATGTACTTTGAACTTAGGAACTATCCCAAGTACATCAGTTGTATGTGTGCGTGTGTGTGTGTGTTTGCACATGTGCATGTGTGCACCAGTACTGGACACATGCCAGTACTGAGGCTTAAACTCAGGGTTTGGATAGGATCACTAGTCTTTTTTTTCTCCAGGCTGGCACTTTACCACTTGAGCCACAACTCCACATACAGCTTTTGGTGGTGGGTAACTGGAGATGAGACTCTTTTCTGCCTAGGGCTGGCTTTGAACCCTGATCTTCAGATCTCAGCCTCCTAAGTAGCTGCAATTATAGACATGAGCCACCAGTGCCAAGCCCAATTACATAATTTTAAAAGCTATTATGTTTGTCCATTTTCTAAGATGTAGATGATAAATTTAACCTCAACTGTTTACCTGGTCTTTTTTTAATATCATAACATAAGCCTTTCATTAAATCATCCAATCAACATATAAATACTTGCTTTTTTATAAGATAATATGTAGAAAATATTCAAAGGTGCAGCAGAATGCAGTCATTTCTTTCATGTTGTGAGTTAGACCAGGGCTAAGATCTGTCTTTGTGGAAACTTAGGTTAGCAAATAGGTTTGTCTTGGCAGATATGGCAGTAGAGTAAAGGGAAGAAATAGTTTCTGTCTGTGTGGTTAGAAATGGCTTCACAGAGGAAGAGAGGTAGTCATCAGTGTTTTATTTGTTCAGTCATTTGAAAAGTATTTATGGATGAAATCATACTTTGTTTAGGAGTCAATAGGAGACAATGGGAGGGAAATGAGTTATAAACCTTGAGAAAATGAGAGTGGCTGTTTGAAGCGAGGTGATGATAGATCTGCCTAAGAAAGGAAGAGACAGACATACAGGCTTACTTTTGTTAGGTAAACTTGGTAACTTTATGTTTTTGTTTTTGTTTTGTCTGTGGTGGGTGCTGAACTCTAGACCTGGGCACTATCCCTCAGCTCTTCAGCTCAAGGCTAGCACCCTACCACTTGAGCCACAGTGCCACTTCCAGTTTTTTTCTGCTTATGTGGTTCTGAAGAATCAAACCCAGGGCCTCAGGCATACGAGGCAAGCACTCTTCCACTGAGCCAACTTTCCAGCCCCTTTTCTGCTGGTTTTTATATCCTGACTACTAACTAGTAGGCTTTGATCATATCAGTCTGTTAATGGAATTAAGCACATTGGTAGACTAGATCTGTCTTGCCTTAGCCCCAGTTCATATAGTGGGAAATAAAAAGCAAGCTATCAAGCTGGGAATTGGTGGCTCATGTGTGTCATCCTAGCTACTCAGGTGGCTAAGATCTAAGGATCATAGTTTTTTTTGTTTTTTGTTTTTTTAATTGTGAAAATACCGTACAGAAGGGTTACAATTACATGGGCAAGGTAATGAGTACATTTCTTTTTCTTTTTTTCTTTTATTTTTTTGCCAGTTGTGGGGCCTGAACTCTGGGTCTGGACACTGTCCCCCAGCTCTTCAGCTGTAGACCAGGGCTGTCCCCCAGCTCTTCAGCTGTAGACCAGGGCTCTACCACTTTAGCCTCAGTCCTACTTCTGGCTTTTTCTGCTTATGTAGTGCTGAAGAATTGAACCCAGAGCCGCATGCATGCAAGGCAAGTGCTCTACCACTGAGCCACCTTCCCAGTGCCATTAGTACATTTCTTATCAAGCATTGTTGCCTCCTCCTTTGTTTCCCTTCCCATCCCTTCCCATCACACCTGCCCCCCCAATTCCCCCCCAGGATCACAGTTTTTTAAAAGCATCTTGTGCAGGAAACTACCAAAAAAGCCAAAAGTGGAGCTGTGGCTCCAGTGGTAAAGTGCTAACCTTAAGCACAAAAGCTCAAGAACAGCACCCAGGCCCTAATTCAAGTCCCAGGAGATATGCACACACACACGCACACATACACATAGGACATAATGAGGGTAAGGTAAGAGTCTGTTATTTAGGAGTTACTAAACTTATTTATTTTTGTTGATTGTGTGTCTTGAACTCTGGGCCTGGGCACTGTCCCTGAGCCTCTGTGCTCAAGGCTAGTGCTCTACCATTTGAGCTACAACACCACTTCTGGTTTTGTGGTGGTTAACTGGAGATAAGAGTCTCACAGACTTTACTGCCCAGGCTGGCTTTAACTGTGATCCTCAGATCTCAGCTTCCTGAGTAACTAGGATTACAGGCGTGAGCCACTGGCACCCACTGTCACTAAACTTATTAACTGTCAACTGCATTCTTTTTTTTGTGTATGTGCTGGTCCTGGAGCTTGAACTCAGGGCCTGGGCACTGTCCCTGAGATTATTTTTTTTTCAAAGTTAGCAGTCTACCACTTGAGCCACAGTATCACTTCTGGCTTTTTCTGAGTAGTTTATTAGATATAAGAGTGTCTTGGGCTGTGAAGGTGGCTCAGTGGTAGAGCACTTGTCTTGCATGCATGAGGCCCTGGGTTCGATTCCTCAGCACCACATAAGCAGAAAAAGCCGGAAGTGGTACTGTGGCTCAAGTGGTGGAGCTCTAGCCTTGAGCTGAATTGCTGAGGGACAGCGCCCAGGCCCAGGGTTCAGGCCCCATGACTGACCAAAAAAAAAAAAAAGTTTCATAATGACATTGTCCAAAAAGAAATGTACTCTTTTTCCTGACTATAATCCCTCTGTGCATAACATTTATAATAACAACAAAAGTTGTTTGTTTGTTTTTTTTAAAGAGTCTCATGGACTTCCTTGTCCAGACTGGCTTCAAACCACAATCCTTAGATCTCAGCCTCCCAAGTAACTAGTATTACAGGCACTAGTGCCCGCTTCTATTTCTTTCTTTCTTTCTTTTTTTTTTCTTCCCCCGATTTCTTTCTTGATGCACTGGTATTCCAAGTGCTCATGCCAAGAATAGTCTCTGTAATGCTTCTAGCACTGTGTATTGCCTTGATAATTGAAGGTCAACATTTAATTAGAAAGCATTTTCAGAATAGAGCTAACTGCTTCTACTTATAAATAGGCAAAAACTGCTTACTTGGCTAATTATTACTTTTTAGAAAGTTGCCTGTGTGTCTTTGGAAGTGTCAACATGTGTTAAATAAACATGTTTCCCAAATCTGTCATTAATTTGTACACCAAAACACAATTTATTTCCCATTTGATTTGTCTACCTAATATTCCTTCTTCCTCCTCCTCTTCTCCCGTCTATGCCTCTTATCTTCCTTTCACTTGGCAGATTCCTTCCCCCCTAAACTTAGCTCAATCATTCCTTCTTCCAGAGAGTGTCCTGCCTCTTCTGTGTCCTCTTAGTGTGTTGTCATGCACTGCTCAGTGATCCTAGCCTTTGCTTTGACGGTGTATGTGTTCCCCACACACTCATATGCTGCCAGAGCTCAGATTCACACCAGAAACTTACCAGGCACAACAAAAAATGATTGAAAATGATTCAAGCATTTATTTCTTCCCTGAGTTTTATTTTGAGACAAGACCTTGCTGATAGCCAAGACTTGCTTGTAACTCATGTTCCTTCTGACTAATCTCCCAAGTCTTAGGATTACAGGTTTGCTTCGCCACACCGAACTTGTTTATTTTCTCAAAATTTATCACATTCTGTCTATACAGTTAACAACTACTTGACTTTTTATTCCATATGTAGTGATTCCATCTATGAATATATAGGGTTTTAAAAATTATTTGAGGGGCTGGGAAGGTGGCTCAGTGGTAGAGTGCTTGCCTTGCATGCATAAGGCCCTGGGTTCGATTCCTCAGCACCACATAAGCAAAAAGAAAAAAAGCCGGAAGTGGCGCTGTGGCTCAAGTGGTAGAGCGCTAACCTTGAGCTGAAGAGCTGAGGGACAGCACCCAGGCCCAGAGTTCAGGCCCCACGACCAGACCCCCCCCCAAAAAAATAAAATAAAATAAATAAATAAATAAAAAATAAAAAATATTTGATTAATTCTTGTTCATTGTAGAAAAAGTAAAAGGGCTTTAGTTTTATCTGTATGAAAGAATATACAACATTTACTTCTGATTTTTGGAATAACTATGTTAATAATCTAGCTGGAAAAAATTAGTTGGGTTTGTTTTTGTTTTCTTTTTTTGTCGGTTATGGGGCTTGAGCTCGAGGCCTGAGCGCTGTCCCTCAGCTCTTCAGCTCAAGGCGAGTGCTCTATCAATTGAGCTACAGCGCCACTTCTGATTTTCTGAGTGTTTATTGGAGATAAGAGTTTCACAGACTTTCCTGCCCGGGCTGGCTTTGAACCATGATCCTCAGATCTCAGCCTCCTGAGTAGCTAGGATTACAGGCATGAGCCACAGACACCGGTTGTTTTTGTTTTTTAATTCAGTTCAAGGCAGCTAACTTTGCTTAGTAACCCTTATGTTTTAGGCACTATAGGCTAATAAGGCTGTCATTGTTGACAGAAGGTTGAGGAAGGAGGATTTTTTTTTTTTTAACTAGTAATGGAAACCGGCATAGTGCTCTCAGTAAAGGTAGACTAAGGGCATTGCAGGAAAGGCCTGTTATCCCATCACTTGGGAGGTAAAGGCAGGTGGATCTTAAGAGTTTGATGTCACTTTCAACTACATAGCCAATTCCAGGCCAGCTGAGGAAGACATTGTCTAGGTAAAATAAAAAAGCAAGTGGGTGGACTGCTACCTCTTGTAGGATCATTAAAGAAAGAATAGTGTTTCTGGGTTTTTGTTTGTTTGTTTTGGTTCCAGTCCTGGGCCTTGAACTCTGGGCCTGAGTGCTGTCCCTGAACTGCTTTACTCAAGGCTAGTGCTCTACCACTTGAATCACAGTTTACTTCTGGCTTTTTTCCTTCTTCCTTCCTTCCTTCCTTCCTTCTTTCCTTCCTTCCTTCCTTCCTTCCTTCCTTCCTTCCTTCCTTCCTTCCTTCC